GGACGTCAAAAGACTTTCAGTGTTTGACCATCGATGTCTTCGGAGCACTGCCCGAATCTGGTGGGAACACCGGATCAGCAATTCTGAAGTACGTCGAACGGTATTCAGGTGAAATAACTCACCCTCGATAGATGAACTGATCACACTGCATAGGTTGCGCTGGCTTGGCCACGTGTTGCGTATGCCAGGCGACCGACTTCCTCGAAGGGCTCTTTTCGCACAACCACGTGAAGGGTGGAAGAGAGCCACAGGCGGTCAAACAATGACTTGGCAGCGAAGTATGAAATCCACTACCAGCAAACTCAGCTGCGCTGGTCACTGCCGTTTTCCTGGATGGGGACCCCGAGACGGGCCACATCAATGGCTAGAGACATTGTCAGATATGGCCCAGTCGCGCCCTCAGTGGCGCTCGTGCATCCAAGCTATTGCCTTCAATGCATAGCTCCTTTTCCAACCCCCCTACTTGACAGCCCACTGACAGTGCTGGATTTATGCACCAATTTATCAGCTCCCGCCTGCAATGCGCAGCTACCTACCCCTCCCACCCAAAACATCGGTGAACGAAACTGCGGCAGCTACAACGACGAGTACGCGGTTATTACAGCTGACAATGATGATGATGATTGTAGCAGGCGTCGTTTGGATTTGTTTGGGAAGCATCGAACGTCTGCTGGCCACTGAGAGTGATTTTAGGTAGAGACATGTGGTTTTTTTAACCAAGGTTTCACTCTTTTTCACTATTCACATTCGTACTATTGTGTGAGTTCTCGCGGTCAAAATATGGCGGAATTGGATAAAACGTCACCGCTCTCCTACTTGCGCGTTGTGCCCTAAACACCTACGTTCCCACCATGTAACACAGACGAGAAAGGGACAAATGGTACGATCAGTTGTAGTTGGAGTCCGTATCTTTAAGTGTTCTCTATTCCTCCTGAGTAGTTTCAATATTAGAAGGAAATCATGAACTGGGGGAGGATACTGAGACCCGATAGAATTGGATCAATGAACAGCGACGGCGGAAGATTGCTGATGATATATGCAGCGTTGGAACTTGCAGTAATAATCAAGTGGTACAATTTGGAATGCAAGCCACCGGCCACGTGCACTCGCCCAAACTGTGAACTGGGATACTTGGCTAACTATCATTGTGTACTGATAGAGCAATGCATTTGGCTGGCTCCAATACGGGTCTTCCCGAGACACGTTCCAGATTACACACTTGTGCCCTCGTCGTCGACCGGGAGGAATCTCGTTTAGTTAGGATGTAATGAGACTGGAAAATCAGGCAACTACCTCAAAAGCTTGCGAGGCTCCAGTATAAAGGCTAATGAAAGGCCGAGTTTCAAGCATGCCTGAATGCAAGCAGGTTCGATCACGAGCTTACATCCAAGCAGCTTCTGTCGATACAATTGGGAAAAAGTGAGAGGTCAGTCAAAATCGGTTTGATGGTTTACTCATCAATACTAATTTTCATTTGAGAATCTGATGGTCTTCAAAATACCCCCGACAGATACAGCAGCTCGAAAGCAACGTAGAACAACCACGATCAAGCTCAGTGGTTAAGGCACGAACTTACTGACCGGAAGGTTTATCGTTCGAAGCCAACCTCTGCACCTCGAATGCTCCTGTCGGGGCATGGGCAACGTGACAGTCCTCAAGCTTCATTCATGTGGTATGACAGGTAAGCACCGAAAAAGGTGCTACAACTGTACGACCACCAAACCGTTAGGACAGCAATTCACGTAGCGACTTACAGGTAACAAACATTGCTCCCTGGAGAATGAAGATATGTTTCCTGACGAAAACTGTCGCCACTAATGTCAGAAAGACATACATACTCCGTCAAATGGTACTCGGGAAAATAAAAGCAGGCTCAACTAAAGAATCAAACGCTGAAGGCTAGTTTAAAACAGGTACCTGCAGGTGGGCTCAGCACCAAAAACTGAGAGACGAGGAAGACGGTTTGAAAAAGTAGCTTTTCTGGGCGATCGGTGGAACGATGTACTAGCCGTAGAAGTGTTGTTAGACGATGAACTCTTCTGAATCTGTGTTATAAAATAGAAAAATGATGGAAATAGTCGTAGAAGGTGCAAGGACACACCCACGCACCCAACCCCCCCCAGACACACACCAAAAGTTGCGTGTGCTGCGAGGAAGTAATGGTGAAAAATATAAGTTAATCAGATGACATGAGCAGCAGATGAAACCACGTGGATCGATTGTGCGGAATACAGTGTACATCTATTACTCCAAGGAAACGTGTCTGACTAGTCCTGGTAGTTGCGCGATCACTCTGGTTTCTGTTGGTCTTCTGCACTGCCTACAGGAAACCGCAGCGGCTTGAGAAAGCGTGTGATAGAAAAATAGTGAATGCTACAACTGCACGGATGCAAAGCAATGCCAAATTGTATAGGATATCATGCTGAATTCTGTGTCAGGGCAAGAAGAGCCGAGTTAAAAAGCCGGATTTTGATTGGCTGATACTGGAATTTTAGGCATGGCAGGCTAATCTATACTTTATGGGTTCAACGACCATCAGCTGAGTCTCAATAAACGTTGACTTAACCCTCAGTAGAATAACAGCTGGACACGATCGTATTATTCCTACTCATTATATGAATGAAACGAATGCATTAGCTATCTACTTCTCAGCAGTGTTGAATTGCTGTCTGAATTGCCTTCAAACTTCTGTTGAAATGACCCCCGAAACCGCTTCTCTTGAATCGGGATTCAACAAGGGTCCATGTAATACTCACCGGGATGTAGTCATATGCCTAGAATGAGATCAAATTACGTTTGATACAACCAGGGATACAATGTTTGGCAGTGTATGGAAATGCGATACAGGTCCTAAAAGGGAGCATCCAAAAGCATGAATGTAATCAGAGTACTGAAATGAAATGATAGTTTGAGTTCTTCAACATAAGAAGACTAGATATACTTCGCCAAAGGAAAGATGAACTACCCTATGTCGGCACCAGGTCGTGCGCCGTATATTTTCACTGAAAACCTAGTGGCTGTGTCATTTGAGCACCCAAAAGGAGGCAAACAAATCTTCCAGATGACCAATTCAGAACAGACTACTAACTGTTCCCTCCCTGTTCTATTTGAGGTTATATTATGGTAAGACACCGAAATAATTCAACATGAAGCCAAATGTAGCAACTTGGATTACGAAGAAGAGCCATTTTCATTGGCCCTGCGATGAATAATTCGGAACGATAGACCAGCTGCTGAACTAAACCGGTACCGGATATCACCAGCTACTATAGCCTAAACGGTAAAGACCTAGGTGACTGCTATTCACACAAAATGCTCACGAGTAGTTGCATAACGTGGATGCTCGATTCACGGACGAAAAAGAGTTTCCAGCCTTGTGTACATCAACTCGTAGTTCGTACAAACCTGTCGAACATCAAAGAAGAAACTCAGCTCAATCACAGACCTAATGATAAAAAACGGTCGCCTTGAATGCATGAGGCACAATTACGACAGATAGGCCTCCATAGGTTCACAATCCGCGTGTACAGTCATCCCTCTCCGAAGTAGGCTTTTTGCTGGTCTCTTGAATATTTCGCTGAAATTTAGAACCCCACATGAGATTCACTATGAGTTCCGACAACGGACCGGTTTTCGAAACGAAGATTCATTAGACAAAATGCTTGTCGTGCAAGCGACAACAGTGGCAGCCATAATCATAGTACAAGTACGCGGTTCTTACAACTGATAATTATGATGATGGAGCTCTTCATAATCTGTTTCATAATCTTTTGAAGCGCCATGCGTTGTCCACCTCACCGTTAGCGCCATTCTGAAGGGGGCGCAAAGAACAACACTCGCTTCTGTATGCGTAACACATAGCTGGGCCACCGACGTTGATGGTGCTGGATGTCTTTCGCGACTGAAGGATCCGCCGCACAACCAAATACCTGTTTTCTAATTACCTCGATACGAATCCGTTGACACCATCTGACACCAGCAACGCTCCCAAGGCATCCATTGTCTAAAACTTGAAGACACCTCACACCATCTGCATGCAGAGACCATGTCCCGAAACCATACAACGACACAGCCCTTACTGAAGCCTCGTACCTGCGACCCTTGACAACCAGTGACATGCCTTTTGACACCACAAGTGACGCGAATCGGCAAATGTGATTCGTGCACTGACATTCGACACATTTTCGTCAGAGCTAATACAATCAACGAAGTATGTTAAATTCTCCACATCCAGCGCTTCTTGAATTATAAAGGGTACGTTCAGATTCTGTACGTTGCGAAGCATGACTTTGCACTTTGAAGTGATGGGCGCACGCCGAAAGATGGTATATAATATGATGATAGTTCAGCTGTGGCACCCATTCGGTGCCTAGCTGCCATGCCACCCAGAAAAAGTATGAGGGATGGGATACTGCCAGGTTGCTCAAGCCTAGACAAGGGAAGTCGAGAGACAGGGGTCGGGTTCGAACCACAGACCTTCAGGTCAGTAAATTAACGTAACCCGTTTATAGGGAAGAACAATCGAACAGTTTTCGCACATTACGAACCAATTCGTATGATACGGGAAGATGCATTCAGTACCGCAATAAACCATAGGCGTACTGTATTGGGCTCCTTGTTCCCTCCACTAACTTTCGCCATTATTAGGTACCATATTACGCATGATACTGATTGCTTCTGAAGCTGTCTGCGCGGAACACTTCCGGCGGTCGACTGTGAATAGCCAATTCTAGTTGGATTTGTGCGTGAGTGTTGAATTAATTTCGGAAATACACCACTCACGTACGCGCAGGGAGCCTCGCTAAGGGGAGAGTATTTGTAGAGGTCACTCATCGGATTGCGCGTCACAAACACCCAAAATACGTGACAATTCCTGTCCCACTTGCAACCTCAGCCGACAATCTGTACACTGCAACTTCCCATCCATCTTTATTTACACGGCTACCACTTGCGTCACACGCCAGGCTTACGAAATTCAACCACATCAGGTCATGTTGTATTCATGTTCGTGCAAACCTTAAACACGAAAGGACACCCCTCTTCACACTGAACACAATAAATAGGCATGCAACTCGGCCCAACACACGCTCGCTCGCGCGCAGGAAGCAGGAAGACAACCACTCTTCACAAGCCCACGAAAACCTATGGAACACGTGTAGCAGCCATACTGTGGAGAAAAAACGTTCCCGCCGTCCGGACTTTCACCAAGGAACTCTCACAGGCGATACGTTCCTCTTTTGACTTGCTCCCATTTTGCATTGTATTCATTTTTATACCTATGGCATCTCACCATTGTCAACCATACTAAAAACCTTTATTAGTGCATATACCTGATTTGTGTTATGGCCATCATCGGCAGTGCACTAATAGATTCGAGAATACTATGCCCGTCAGCTGACAGCGCAGAAATATCCTTCTGTTAACAGTGGATATCACTTTAGCCCTAGGATTACGTGGTGACGACTCGTCAGTGGATAAAGCGAAAACAACCAGAGATTATTGAACTGACATAATTTCTGACACTGGCGAATACTCCGGATGTTTTCATTCTTCTCCCCCTCATCATTGCCAGCTCTAAAACATCTTGCACGGTAGTTCAAGTAGTCACAGGGTCGTTCGTCATTAGTATGGGAAAGCAGAAGGGCAAAGTTGTGAATGGAGGGAGGCAGCTAATATCATTGGATAAAAAGATAGCAGGAATTCTTGTTGGTGGGGTGATCGGAACGGGAAGTCAAAAGTTGAAGGCAATTATCTGAAAGCATGCCCGCCATCAAACGAGTGACAGCCACGTCCGTTCATGTCGCTAACCGCTTATACGTCCCCTTCCGGGGAGAGGTCGCGACGCGGATCAATTTTCTGGTACTGGTTTTCGTACTTGTCTGGCTCGTTTCCACCCCTCGGGTAGTTTCAGGAAAAGGGTTCTTTGGGGTGTCAAGCCATACGAAGCACGTGAACAAGCAAACGTAGTTTATGGAGTGTTATCAGAACACGTCGTGTGCGAGCTACTTCTTCCGAAAATACGTAACGTTGCGAATATTCCTATGTCGGGAACCAAATGCTTGCAGTCCAGTTACCAAGCTAGGCGAATAAACCAACAATCAAGTATTCGGCACAGCTCTAAACCAGTGATTCAATGCCTTCACCAGACAAGGATAATTCTCCGAGGGCAACACGGTTTTGAAAAGGAACTCGCCTTTCTACGTCTGCGAAGTCTATATGCTAGGATATATTTAGGATTTCTCCGAAATACCAGTCTTTTAGCTACTAATTGTCTCCACCTTCAGTTGAGAGCAATTCTCGAGAAAGCCAAGGGCAGTTTTGGTCAGTCCCCTTAAGCGGTTCTTCTAATAAAGGCGGCCAACTCCATTGCTCGGTCTCAAAAACAAAGGCAAAACTTGTGATCCTGTGAATAGGCAAGCACGTGGTTAGTAATAAAAAAACGCCAAACAAGAAGGTAACCAATGACGTGCCCGCTTCTTAATTTTCTTCTGTGTGACGGTCAGCGTTCGTCGTTTCTTTTTTCGAAGGGCGGCAGTTACTCGTTTTTTTATTCGTCGTGTCACCTTTCCAGTTTTCTTCGTTTTATTACGTCTTACTTTCTTCGTCTTCCGTTTTTTGGGCTTCGACGACGAAGGACCGGCTCGGAGAGAGGTTTGTGGAGATGGCTGTTCGGGGACCGTTTGCGAAGTAGACGGTAGTGGGGAATCTGACCCAGTCGATGACGAGAGTCTAATGCGCTTGGATGCTCGTGCAGCTGTAGCAGACACGGAAGAACTGGGAGCCAAGTCAGTATCAGATTCGTTGGTTCTCCCGGATATGCGTGGAAACCGGTCACGGCGGAGAGATGGTAAAGGAAGTTGGATACCGTTCTCCATTTCTGATTCGGAAGCGCTATCCGAAAGGATAAGTAGTCGACGACGGCGAGCCTGAGTGAGGGCAAAGGAATATATTTTAGGTTCAATGACTTATCAATACGCAGTAAAGTTGTCAGAAAGAGAATCCAGTTGAGTAAAACACCGGAAAATTCAAAATCAAGGGTGGAACAAATGATAGCTCACCTGCGACCTGGACTCGGCTGCAGTATCCTCCGCAGCGGCCGTCCGTCGGCCCGATCGATGATCACGTGCCTCTGCTGAGTTAGGACTAGACAGACGGAGCTGAGTCGGACCATTGGGCTGAAAATGTGAAATATTGATTTAGTAGTGCTCATCATCATCATTGGCTTACCTACACTGGAATAAGTCCACACCTTAGGCTGAAACTATGTCAGCACCGAGACATAGAACTGGATATATTATTCCTAGTGAAACATAAGGTTGAAGGAAACTCGAGGACTGTGCCTACCTGATGAGCCCCAAGGAGGGCGAAACCGGTAGTGAACTGACCAAGAGTCTTCAGCAACTTTGTGAGTAGTTTCCTTTATGAGAATATAATGCGATATCTCGAATATCAAAGCAACTGAAACATAAGGCGGCCTTTGTGCAGCACATTCCATTGAAGAATACCATAAACGAGAGAGTCAGTTGAGTGTCCCGTGAAAACCAAGTTGATAAGCAAATGAGTGCATTTGTCGTATTTCGTGTGATTTGGGTTCAAGTAGATGTTTCAAGTTGATGGAAGCTGGGGGAAAGGACCTGCCGGATGAGCCTCAAAAATGAAACCGGTCATGGGCTATAAAAAGATTTTCAGCAACCTTGTGAGTGGCTTCCTTGATGAAAATACCCTTACTTTTATCATACTTTCGAGGTAACAGCATGAAATTAGACAGTAACTATGAGCAAAGCAACATAGGGCTTAGTGTGGTTATCGATTGTCCGTAAACCAAAGAAAAAGCGCCTAGGTAAATCTGGTGAACACCGAACTTCCCGTGTCCAGATGTAAACACCGCTTTCACCTTGTCTGCCGAAGTTTCTGTTTGTCAGCATGACGTAAGCCGATAAATATACTCAAGAACCTGATCCACTCAATTATGGGAAAGAGCTAAGCAAGGGAAGTCATGGATATTAGATTTGTGGAAGCTGGCCAGCAGTTAACGATCCGGCTAAATACTTAGTTGTTGCTTACCACCAACGGGACCGCTTAGCCCTCTATTTTAGAAAGAAAACATCATAACGATTATCGGACGATGTCTCGACTGAAGTCAGACTTGAGCTGCACAAACAAGTACAAACCAAAATTCCACAAAAACCCAATCACAGGGCAAATATATGTTATCACCGAGATGTCTCCGATCCTAACTGTGAAACACGTTGGTGATAATACCCCCTTCTCAATACACCTCAAAGGGAGCAAAAATCTTCGGGCTATTTGGGACTTGCCCAAGAACTCAAGTGTAGTGTGCTTTAAGTCTTTTGTCCCCTTACACTAGTACACGCGTTTCATTACCGATGGGAATAGACGAAATGAAATCATCTAGTACTTATGTTTTGATTGCCATGACGTTCCAATGGATGATGTTTTGGGCATTTAATCTTTTGAGGATGGGCAAATTGCAGAGAAATGCGACATTCCAATCCTTCTGAATGCGTTATCTCCCCAAGAAGAACGTCAAGCATGTTACGGCTCAGTCTGGTGAAAACTTCGTCGAAAACGGCCGAAAAACACCTCCCTTCCAAGGACAAGGATAACTTTTAGCCCATTTAATCAATTGCTACGCAGCATGTTTCATCCATTAATGACATTGGAAGGAATACCCTTCGCGTGAATCATGTTTGCCCTACGTAGAAAACATATATAAAGGACGCGAACAATGCAGTTCTAGATTTCTCGTTTCATTGATCGTATCATGAGGTTTCGCTGCTCCAACAGGCCAAGTCTCACAGCCACCAACTCTCGCCACCCCACACATGTGGCCTACTCGTTGCGATGGTGATTCAACCGAACACAAGTGCCACAGAAACTGGGTGAAGAACGCACTATCCGCCAACTAATGTGAAGGCTGCAGTTAGCTCGTACTCCAAGTCTAACAGTGTACTGACGGATATATATGCCCTAGATTGTATGCATTGCAAGACCGAAGCGATCGAATCACTCCAGATACCGAACAGTGTATAAGGACTAATCCAACCATTCAATCAACCACCAAAGTTGAAGCTAGACAAGGTCGTTCAAGTAACTTTTGAGCGTTAACTAAGCAGGTCCTTTTGTCTATGAAGTGCTGGCTGAATCTAATTGACAACAGAACTGACATAGGGAATTTACCCAGTCAACTCCGTTCCTCAAGTCACGGTGAACAGATTGGTTACCTATCCCTGTTGCTTATCCGACCCCCCGAAATTTCGCTTAGACGGTAGCATAGAAATTGTGAATACTCTGAATAATGACCAAAACGTGGTTCATAGGGGGGAGGGAGCAAATGCAACCTGTAGGTCATTTCTTGTTTCATCAGTTCAGTTAAGAGCACCCTGTGGTAAAACTCTGGACTGACACAAACCCATTCGTCCATAAGAACAATGTGTTTGATGGCTGAGTAGTGGAAGAGACAAGTCTTTTGGTCTAACGATTTGACCACGGAAAAATAAAGCACGCAGCCGTCGTCGCCGTTTAGCTAGCGTACGCGCATATGTCGAAACAGTGAAGCTCGAGTGAGTTCAGTGTCCGTTGGAGCTGGTTTCGGATGGCGTCAGCGTATCAGCAACGAGGCGATTAGAAAACGGGTATTTGGTTGTGCTGCAGGCACCTCAATCCGGGAAAACATCCAGCATCATCGACTACGATGGCTCGGTCATGTGCTACGCATGCCGAAACACCGTCTACCGAGACGAGTGTTGTTCTCCGTGCCCCTTAGGCGACAATAAAACAGTAAACACTAATAAAGCCCCTGGGTTAGAGTGTCGTCACTAAGTCCCTGGGGGAACGCTTTTGGAATAGGAAAGCAGATCATCAGTATTTGGTCTCAGGGTTTCCTTATCCTGCTTTCACTTTTAAAGAGAGACCGGGTGACATTATAGCCATCCGTATTCCCTTATCTCACACTGGGAAAACTAATGGTTTTATTGCGGTTAGCGCTAGTATTTGTCGCTAGGGTATTCCTATTCATAACGCTAATGATCGCAGTGTCGCGACATGATGGTGTGAGCTACGTTCTGCTGATGACTTAGCATGCCTTAGCTTGTCATATATACGTAGGGGTCTGTCCAGTTTGCTTTATTTAGCAAGAATGTCTGGCCTTACCACCGAACCGAAGAGCCTCTGCTTGATTGGTTGCCCTCGGTAGTTCGGTTCAATTTTCCGGCTCACAGATCATAAATTGAGATGCACTGGTTTCAGTCGCTGCAGCTTCGTTTACCGAGGATACGGAAAATAAGAGAATGAGAGCCACGCGTTGAAGGTGATGGCCCAATCTGTGCATTGATATCCAATGGTTCCGTCAAAATCTCTTCATAAAGTAAGTGCAGTCTACCGGCCAGAAAAACCAGCTGTCATTTGAACGTTCAAACGAACTTCATGGTTGTACGGCAGTGAAGCATCAGTGCCAACACTGATGTTGCTGTCATTCATGATGATGATGATGATGGAGCTGATCTGCCCAAGTTGTTTGTACATGTTTCACCACCATGCCAGGAAACACTGTCGATGTGCGACTGCACCAGTAACTCCTCCACTTTTGCCGCGTGAATGGTTGTTTGGACGATGGTTGATGAGTAACTTGATTGATCCGTTTAGTGTTTGTGCTGCGTCGTGGTTCGGCTATCTAATATCTTATTAGTTCGCTGTGTACCTCAACTTCAGTAGTTTTGTTCCCTTATTCTGACCGGTCCGTTTGGCTCCATTTGCGAGTTGCGTTCTAGCCCGTCTCCCTGTGAGATACCTGCTTTCTTGACTTTGATCCATCTGCTAGCGACTTCCAATGCATTGTGATCTTATTTCCCGGCTCTTGCCTGGTTACTGGTTGTTACTGCAAGCCAATTAATATTGTCTTATGTTGACAGCCTCGAAAAATGCACTCCAGGGTCAAATGAAATCTATACGTCTTAAAAATTTGCAGGAGTTTCGCTAACTGCCGACGTTGATTTACCTAGTGATAACTATAAACCACCTTAACGCACGGGCTAGCTACTCCCATTCAAGATCTAACGATATGATCGAATGCTCAGCCTAGATTTTGGTTGCAAGCTTCCAGTGAGCACATACCGTAGAGTTTTAATTAACTATCTTCTCTGAAATGGGGTCATCGAGTCCAATAAGGGATAACGGGTATCAATATTTGACGTCGATGCTGGAATCGCCACCAGAATCCTATCTAAATTAAAAAACCTAATGGATACAGTGTGGAAGTCATTGCTTGATTAGGAAGTGGTCCTAGTTGGGGAATAATTCTTTTTATCTACCCAGGGTGTGATCTTTCCGGGGTTAAGTTCCTCAAAGGCGATCAAAGAGTATGTTGATGGGGAGTTAGACGGAGCCGTGAGACACCGCATGCTTCCCCTGTTTTGTGAAGAGAAAAACCTTACAATCAAGTACAAAGGAGATGCTAAAAATCATGTGGTCGGCTTGGTCATTCTCCGCAGATGAAATTATTTGTGGGTTGAAGAGAGCTCATCTTACCTCTGTGGGAGGTTCCAAACGCAGGGTAAGCTGATTAGAAGTGGTCGCAGTAGAAAGGCGCGTCTGACCGGTTTGCTCAGCTGCCAACTGTCGACGCACACGTTGGCGTTGAGTGCGGCGGTGCCGTGCACGGGCAGAGGCTTCGTTGAGCACACGTTCTGCAAGATTCAGTATGGTGTCCTGCAACAGGCGACTACCTCGATACCGACTGTTTGCTCGCTGACGTAAGATCCGTTGTGTAGCAGCTGAGATCCGGTGGACACCAACGAAATTCTCATCTTGGTCCTCCGAAAGTCCATCATGAGTATCATCTGATTCTAGAGCATCACTCTCTTCCGCTTCACGATCAACTATCGAGGAAAAAGGTGTCGGAGTCGTAGCCCGCCTTCTTGAAGTCCTGGTGGTTGTTGAACTCGTCGAGGTTGTGGAGTTGCGACCAATACCGTGGCGGACACAATCTGGGCAAAACCAATCCCCCGGTGGAACGGAGGACAAAGGGACTGGGAGACAATAAGTATGGTAGCCTCGATCACAGTGATCGCATAAAAGTAGATGTGCTTCATCGTCTGCGAGGGTGCAAATCTCACATGTTGTGTCAATCTCCTCGAAAGGTTCCTCAAGCGAATTCAACTCTACTGGAGGTGCCGTTACCTGGGGAAAGCATGAGATGATAAGGTATAATTATCGCCATAGTGGTATAAGAAGCTGCAAATATTAGTCAAGTAGTCTTGGAATATGAAAGTGTGAACACTTCCAAAACTTGTTTAAAAAAGTGTTGGTGTTACGGTTCGCCATTTTGGATCAGCATCTGCAGAAACGAGCGCTATTCATTGTCGAGCTACACAACGTAGGTGACCTGAAGCTCGCGGATGTGAGTTCACCGCTTCTGAACGTTTTATAAGACCAATATGTGAGCTTTGTTTTAATATCCCGTGGGTCACAATGTGCCACAAGGTGGAAAACGCAAAAATAACTTGGTTTATTGGCACTCATTCCGTACTTCAGGGGACGGATGCATGCTTTCTACGTTGCAAAGATGAATCGTCTAAGATTCTACGAGCAGACAGGTGAGCGCCGAGATATCATCTTCACGAGAATTCATGACAGCGTCCCCCGTCAGTCAAGACCTAGTGTAAACCTTCCCAAATGAGATTCCATCTCAATGCCCACCTTTTCCCGAGATAAAGTTTCGTGTGGAATTACCGTAAACGACTAACCGGACAGCATGAACACTTACAAATACACCAGGTACAGTTGAGCAACTGATGTGGGGCTACTATCCATTGTGGACGTAACCATGGGGCTGGAAATTTAATGTCTCATCTCAACACTACTATTATTTGTATAACTGTTACTAGCACCAACACCAAAGGCTAACGCCGGTGTTTCACTACCACTCAACACTGGATCGGTTAGTTCAAGTCAGATCGTTCACGTTTACACCTTAATGTCTCGCCAGGGTGCCTGACACTCTAGAATGAGATAAGTTGGAACAACTTCACGCTGCTGGAGACAGTTCACTGATTACTCGATGAGATAGTCTATCTGACTCAACTTTCGCAGGCGGATGAGGGGATGCACCAGCCTGCAACGGTCGGGATGGCATCCTCAGGTGTCCTATGGACCTCTGGAAAACGGGTCTGCGACAAGGGGCACGCACCAGACACCAGGTGCAAACACAGGTCAGCCAGCCACTAGACAGGCGCGTCACAAAAGCTTCGATGGGTTGGTCAGAAGCTGACACCGTTCATGGCTATAATTTTACGTGATTCATGGCCCGGTCGCATTTGTTTGTATGGCAGCTGTTCGAAGCACAAATCGCTAACACGGCTGCTGCACTTAGGGGGGTTCAGCTCCAGCGTGCTGTCTCCAACATAACTGAACGTCTCGCAATAGCTTGAGCGAACAGAGTTATCTTTCCTACAAAATCTATCAATACTACTCACAACCTTTCAATTCGATGTGTCATGGGTCAGATTATAATCACCTACGTGGTGCATAAGCAAAACAAAGAGTCGGAAGTGGTCTTATAGCGGCTGCTGGAGATAGGCCTCAGGACAGGCTCAAAACCAACTAAACTAGTCCTCCGTGATATTCGTTCGCATGTTCCAGGGGTTAATGTTGATTCGTTTGAATCAACCCTTCCGAACCACGAGCGCAGACCTTCAGGCTCTAACTGTGGTAAGGATCGTGCGGCCAAGTCACCCTAGATGGCTCAACACGTCATTCATAGCTAGCACAGATTATACATTCATACGATGTACATATCTGCTTCTGGCTAGTGTTCTATTTGCTGACCTTGGCAATTCGATTGTAAACATTTCAACATCAGTCGGGGTGACCATCGGTGATGAAAAACGTTTGCATACAGATCTCCAGTCTGAGAAAACAGAATATCAGTCCTCTATACAGCACAAGCATTTCTTCCTCGTATCCAACTTTCATTCTGATGCCCCCATTAATCACCCCGGTATACACTGTAAAGCCATCACGCGGTGCACTAAATTCTTTCCAGAATGGTCCGACACTAACGTAACAAGATTCCTATCACGCTACTGGGACAAATGCCAGGAAGTTCGAAAACACCAGCTCACCGAATAGGAAAAGATAGAATTCGAGCGATTCAAATATGCCTAGGTGAATAAAGTTCATAAAAAAAACATCGTACCTCGTTCGTCATTGCCTACGCTTCCGCTTACAGTCAGCAGAGAAGCACTCCCTGGTCTTTGATACACTTTTACAGCTGTGGTCACTCCATCTGGACCATTGTCTCAGTCTCCGAAATGGTGATTACTGAAGCTGTAAAAATAACTAGATGATTCGAGGCACTTAAAAAACCAAAAATGACTGCGTGGTGCCGCCTGTACAAAAAAACCAGCGAGGCTGTACTTTTCTAAAGGTAACGTGAATTCTGAACCGCAAAAAACGATGCAGAATGAGGCTATAGTGGTTCACTGTAATCAGTGTCCGCTTGGACGACCTTTTATTAATGTAATGCACCACTCTCGTAGTGCAGAGTGGTGCTGAAGAGCAGGGCGATGGTGGGATAGTCACTTGGAAAGCGGTGGATTAGTAGAAAGAACCCATCAAGTGGCTGCCCTGCTCTCCAGGATTGCTGAGCTCATTCCATTCTGCAAACATTCTGAGAGGCCAAAGCAAAATATATTGTATTCACACACACACACACTCTCTCTCTCTCTCTCTCTCTCTATATATATATATATATATATATATATAGAGAGAGAGAGAGAGAGAGAGAGAGACTTACTGGTATTTGCTGACTATGCCAAGTTAAATCTGCACACTCCGAACTATAATACTATATACAATATAATAACAGTAAATATGTAATGCATATAATAGGACGTAACATATAGTTATGCATACATGAGTCGGCTACATACAAATGTTTTTTCTCCCTCTCCTCATACAAGTCAGGCAGTAACAATCTGGCATCCTCTTCAGCAAACTACAGGGAGAGATATTACAAATTAGTGCGGTACAAAGAACTTAAAGCAACTCCAGATAGTTGTTCTCGCAAATAAGGCTGGGAGAGCGAATATACACTCATCTGCAAACTAATTTGGTTCTTTCGAGAGACTCACCTGGAACCAAGCTGAATCTCTCGTTTATGATGTTCTCAGGCAACTGAATGTGCTGCACCAGGCCGCCTCATGTTTTCAGGCAGATGAGTGTATATTCGCTAATTTCGTGCGATTTGGTTTCAAGTAGAACATAAGGTTGACGGAAACCCGGGGACTGCGCCTACCTGATGAGCCTCAAGAAGGACGAAACCGGTCGTGGGCTGTCGATGGATTTTCAGCAACCTTATGAGTAGTACAAGGCTGGGCGAGGTTAACAACAGCTTGTTTGCGAGAAAACATCGATGCGCATGAACAGTATAAACGGAAAAACCAAAAAGAAACCCAATCGAATAAACCGGTATTTCATAAATTAAGTGGGAATCTGCTTAGCAATACTATCAGGGCGCGGTGAGTTTGATCCCGGTTCATTATAAAATGCCAAAAATGCCCGATGAAGGCATTAGGACCGGGTCGGCGTGACTGACTGAGACAGTGAGGTACGGGAAAGGCGTGGGTAAACCTAAGTCATGTTGAACTTATCATAGGACCGAACACCGGGATATGGCGCTTCGCTTTGCGGGCGATAGCATTAAATTATGAGGTTTACGTTGGTTGGCTTACGTTGAACTAGATCAAACCATTCTGACGGTCACCGATATCCGTGATCTTAGGGTCAACTGATCATCTTGTATAGTACCCAACATCCAAACTGAGTATGAACTGCGACCTCGGCCACGGGCTTCCAGAGGACTGTAGATTTTCAGCTCCATTCCATTGCCTCCTGGATCGGACCCTCTAGTCAGAGGTTTCAAGTGAGGCCCCTTAAGTGAACCCTCCATCTCGTCCTGGGATAGTAACTTGCCCATGGAAGGGACAATGTTCTCACTCCAAGTTTTCTCGCATTCTACTGCTATTACTATGAACTCAAACACAACCAATTCTTCTTTGAAAACACGACCTCTGTCTCACACAAATTTTGTACACCGAAATTCCCCTCTCAGCACATTTACATTAAATTAGTCTTCTGTTTATCCCAGTACATGATCGAACCTTCACATCACCCGCAACAGTGCCTGCGATGGCTCTCATTCCTGTTTTTCGTCCATGTACTCCCTTCAATCCTACCAGTTTCAATTCCCGAACACTAATGCACGTAGGCCAAAAAGTTGGTCTAGCAGATCCGCAGAGACACTCAAGTTGAGGCATGCTACCCCTCAGAGACACGCTTGTATGACGACAACTCAGTTACTTTTCTAATATTTTGGTATAACTCTGAGACTGAATTTCATTTACATTCTGCCTAACACTTCACAACTACAAGGACAGGTCAATCAGACTTTCCAATAACCTCGAGTGACAGAGCTTAGGCTGCCTTTTAGACTAGATTCCAATCGACAGTCGATTGTGAGCCGTCAATCTTGACGGCGTCCTGTAAGGTAGAATGAATGCGATTAGGAAATCGTGTTTTATTTACCGTTTCTCCCTGCAAAACGGAGCTTCGAAACAAGTGATGCCGTCGGCGTCTCTGTGACCTGTTCCTTCGAATAATCAGGTTAGATATCATGTTTTGGCTGGTGATATGAATACCAGCATAAGAGGCTTAGCCTTGATGTCAGCTTAGGAGGACGTTTCTTCTGCGATATTGTCCGACGGAACAAGGGTGGCAGATACCTTGGCTTTTGCCGATCATTGTCCGTCCGTTGCTGGTTCCGATTTTCGGCGTTCGGTACACCGATTCCACAACCATCGTTCTCCGTCACCAACGCAGGCACGGCCTCATACAGATCATGTCGCTTTTAGTTATCGATCACAAGGCTGTGCCCAAAAATAACGCTGCTACTGGTCAACTTGTTTAGACTGCAGCCATGCACTGCCAAGGATAAACGTGTTGCTGTGCTTCGCCGGTCGCGAAAAAGCGGCTCCTAAGCCAAACCCGAGGAAACCTAATCCTGAAGTGTTGCCCACCTATCAAAACAAGAACTACGTTGATTTGATCTCACCCCTGTCCGATGGTTTTGAACTAGGTTAGACAAGCTGAATTATACTATTCATCCAGCTAGCCTAATTAGTTATACCCAAACCCAACTCAGCAAGGTATACAGAACATCCATCGACCCTGCCCAACTGCTGACGAGCGTAAAGAGCTACTATACGTTCCACGGGTACAATTTTGCTCTTGAAACGAGCGAACTAAGAGAAGCATAAAAACGTTCATGAATTGTGGTGTTGTGGGCATGAACCTGAGATGGAAGATGCTCCTGCATCCGTTCATTTTCGGACGCTGTTTTAACGTATGTAGGGCTAAGCAACAAGGTGTTACCGAAACTATGCGGCCACAAACAAATTTCGGAGGCGGTTAAAGCTTTGGGCTAAAAATTCCAGCCACAGTTAAATTGGCCACCAATATCGTTGTTGCGCATTATACATCAGATGTTCGATCTTGGCCAATTTCCTTGAAGTCCTACACAAGGAGATGAAACAAGAACTCACTGAATTGAAGCAACATAGAGCACAGAATCCTGATTAACACCCACCGGCCTCATTCAAAGACAATGGAGAGCGCCCTCCCTTGTTCTCCACCGTTTGGCACGAAGAACAACTTCTTTGTTCTTGGGGAGATTCCATCGTGGTCTCTATTTATGAGGAAGGACAACGGAACGATTGTGCTAACCCTAAAGGGAGCGGCTTCATCTCCACTGTCTCCGAAAGGTTATTGTTCGTAATTATCCGGTGGTTACGTCAGTAATGTGAATACGGAACATGCAAGCAGCTTCTGACCTGAGCAGAGATGCACTTACAGAGGCTTCACCACTGACAGATGCTAGATTACAGCCGTGTTTACTACTGCTCTACTGCATTTGTAGAGCGAAATTGTGGGAACGTCTGTCGAGTACTTGACAGATATGTGACTTTTCATATAACGGTAGCTGGAGCACAAATATGTGGCGAAACATCGCATCCGTTCCCTTGTCCAGTGTAATACGGAGTTCTTTCTCCTTCAATTTTACGGCTGATGATTCATTAGAAACATCGGTCGAAGACTACACTACTAACAGTGCGGTTGAGCTGCTCCTAGGTTTATCTACCAGTGGATATGCTATAGTTAGTAATAGTGCTGTATGATAGTACTGTATGAGAACTGTTGAACCACATAGCGATCGAAGTGCCTCGTTGAGATGTCATTTGCGCCTTCGAAGTGTAAAGTCGGCTCCAAGGATTGGCAAGGGAGTGCGAATTAGGCATCTTGGAGGAAGCAGACCACTTTATTTATTCGAAGATCAGCATTACATCTGGTAAATGAATGGATAGTAAGAGTACATCTACATCTGCCGACATAAGATACCTCTGGCACCGATGTACCATTGGTCTTAGGTTGAAAGAATGTGCTTACAATGCCGCTCCACGCGCCGCCCAAACATATTTTTCAAAACGTGATCGACTAGTACTGAATATCTCTGGCGGCTGCAAGTCTTTGGCAGACCTTGTCTGCGAATTTTCGCGGGCGCCCGGTGGCGACATCTCGCGAGTAATAACGAACACCGTCGGCCCCTCTAACCCACCTATAGAGATTACACCTTTAAAGCACTGATTACGCCAACAAAGTCCTATTATACGTGCGTCATCACAACGCCCATGGCGCCGCTATTCGCATGCAGCTGGATTAAGTGACACAGACGAAGGAGCGGGAAATCATTGAGGTGGAAAATAAACACTGAGAACTTGACTGATTACTTAGGAAAAGGTTCCTAGCCTGGATCCGGAGAACACTGAGGTGACGTGGTTGGAGACAGACACTGGGCAGTGGCAACGGAAGGTATCCATTCAAAAGCCTGTCCGTTACGAAACATATATTTAATTCCAAACAATGAAAAATTAAGGTTTGTGCAGCTGGACAAAACATACTACTTAAAACGCTGTTGGAAACTCGGTGACAGCAACAGTATAAGTACGGTAAGGTACACTTCAATATCTTGAATACCGTGGTAACTGAAGCATAAGGCGGTCTTTTTGTAAAAAGCTTGATTGAAGAACATCTTAAACCAGGAAATTAGTTGGGCCTCTCGTTAAAATCAATGTAATTCACAAGCAAGCGCACTGCGCACTCCCTGCTCTCTTTGCTTTTGTGCAGAAAATCAATCAGATCGATTTATCAGCTATACACCGCCTGCCATAGGCACAATCGTTCCACCTGCTACTGTTTATCGATATGTACATATATTTCTGAACAGATATTTTATAAATATGGCGGCACACAAATGAGCGAAGGTTACACAATAAGGTTGCCCTTCACATAAAAAATGGTTGTACACAAAGAACTGGACTGACGTAACCCCATAGAAAACCACAGCGGCAACATTAGTGAAAAATTTCAACATTCCGAGATCATTGTAGCTAAGTGTTCAGAAGAACGTAAGTCGATAGGGTGATTGTCATATGAAGTAGGTAGAATTAGTCTCTCGAAAGATGCCAACTAGCTATGCAGCACTGGCTGCGGAAGATCCCTACGTCATGATCAATACAAATCTGAAGTGGGCTCGGCACATGAGTCGTATTAGTCCAGATAGCTTCTCTTTTCTGTAGCCAAGAAGTCTGAGACTTTCGCATTAAATAGCTGACTTGCCTTTCAAGCTCAAGCGAGGAAAAAGGCTTAAATACATTCCCAAGAGTATTCAAGATCAAAGAGTAATAGTTGCGTTGGCCTAAGTATGTACAGGTCAACATCCCATCCAAAAATTTAAGTGTAACGATACAATGTAAGTTATAAGACATGAAAAAAATGTGGCATCTTCTCGGGGCGTAGCTGCAACGCCAACTGAAGAGAACATGATAGCGTTGATGAGCCTGGCTAACCTAGTCTAGACGAGAGGATCAGAAAAGCCAAGATCGGAACTGACCCGCGGACCCCACAGTCAGCAGCGACTACCTATACCATTGAGCAACTTCGAGTTCTGTTCCATTTTTTGTGGGATGAGTAAGATCAAAAACTTCAAAAGCTTACCCGTTTGACGATTGGACCTCCGACCGTATCGGACAGTAGAATAAGTTCAAATGCGCCGCGATCCAAGGGACATTCGTGACGTACGCGAGACCATTCCCGTAAACACACATAACAAAAGGTATGGTTACATGATTCTGGGGTCGCAATGGGCTTCTGCAATGCTTCACAACATATGGGACATTGATTAGATTCTCCAACCGTGACGATCTTGCTCGCCGGACCTAAGGGGGTTTTGCGCACCACTACTTCCGTGAACTTGACCGAACAACCGATGGCTGGGCAGGTATATTCATCGGACGAGCCCTTTGAAGTGCTCCAGTCTTCGAAACAGGTAGAATGAAACACATGTGTACAACCTTTGGGGGAACAGTTTTCTTGCATAACAACCCCGTTGCACAACGAGCAGGATGGATTGTTGGTCTTGGCGTTGATGAAGTCGAGCATCTGAAAGGTAAGCGTAAAAGTCGACAAATCAGGATGAGATATATGAAAGCCGTGTATTTTTCCAAACCGGTGGATTATAACGGTTATCAAAAGCGTGCTTTTCCCTCCGGAGACGGACATAGAAGAACAACCACGCAGCAATAAAGGGTTGTTCATGGAAAAGACGTTATTATGATGGGGACCAATCTGCAATCTGAGATTATCAGGTTCCATCCATATGCACCAACGATGATTGTGTTTCGCGCCAACATAACTGGCATCAGCCATGCCACAGTTTCTGTCCCAAATTACAAGAATGTGTGGTGATATAACGGTAAGACACCGTTTCTCCATTGTTGTTCCAAGTAGTAGTGATAGCACGCTTGCGCAAGCTGACGTGAGGGAATCAATAGTCCTATTTGGTGGACCCGACAAGTGAACGACGTAAAATTCGGCGAAGTTATGTTGGTGGTTTATTAATCGTACATAAACTCATGTTGTAGTGGTCAGATTGACTGCACTAGTGAAAGAAAGAAAGCGTTCAGCTGTAGCACCCTTCCGGTGCCTAGCTGCCATGCCACCTGAAGGGAGCACGAGGGCTGGGATACTGCCAGGTTGCCTAAGCCTAGACAGGGGAAGTCGAGAGGCACAGGTCGGGTTCGAACCACGGACCTTCCAGTAAATAGATTCACGCTCTAACCATCTGAGCCATCTAGTAAAAAGAGATGTAAATAAAATGTACAGTAAATGTAAAGTAATGTAAATGTGATGTAAGATGTAAAGAAAATTTGCAAATATTGCATCCTCAGAAAGGTAGCCTGAACGGACGAATCAACCAAAAAGTTACATATGCTTGCTTTTTGACTCCGTTGATCGTCAGGGACTGTGAGCCACGAGTATATATGGTAGTGCTCTAATAAATGACGTAGTGCGAAGATGTAATAGACGCAGCCTGTACCCGGTCAAAATCTCACTTGATGCTCAGCGAGTAAGGTCCTCCAAGACGCCGTAAGATGATGAAGAATCAGTGACGCCAGAAACCCTGTTGCAATGTTAATCAAACTGGTACCAAACTGGTTACCATATTCACTGCCAGTAACCTTTTCTAAAAGCGTTCCACAACTCCGAATGCCCCTCCCTGGATTGTGAGATGTCCAGAGTGAACGCACGCCGAAAAGCGTGACCTAACCTATTGTGGATACACGGCGCATTCCAAAGAAAGGTATGACTTTCGTCAGTTCATCAGAAAACATCTGTGCTTTTTTCCTCTATAGAGACAAGAATGATGTTGTCTACATATTCCAGGTCGATAATGTTTTCATCGACGGCCACCTGAACACTAGACTTTTAAAAAGCTTCCAGGATTCGTCTGATGTCCTGGTCCAACACGAAAGTAGATAGGAATGGAGAGAGTGGGCATTCTTAACGGACACCAATTTGTGAACGGAAGTTTTAGAAGAGCTCTCCGTATACCGTCACATGCCCACAAATCGGGGGACAAAGAACTTCTTACGCTCACAAAACTCAAGGGGTATTCCTTTCTGAGTAATCGTGTTAGAAACAGACCGATATACTGATTCAAAGGCGCTTTGGATATCCAGGAACACTAAGACTGTGGGTCATTATAGGCACGGTGTTGTTCCAACACGACGGAGTGTCAAGCTTTGGTCAACGCTGTCCCTACCAGACCGGAAACGCGCTTGCTGCCCTCGAGTTAGTGTTTCACGAGCCACCATAGGGTAACAAAGCACAAGTGACGCCAGCAGTCTCATTACGATCATGGTTAAGCTGATCCCCCTGTGGTCACCAAATTATCTACGAGCCTCTGTTGTAATAACAGGCAATATCGCCTACTCTCTCCAGTTGTCTGTGACCATCTCTTTCAAATTACAAGCAGATCAGACGAGCGCTGTCTATGGATTTCACCCCAGGTGTGGGTGGGAGGTCATCCAGAGCAGAAGCTCCGGAGAACATATGCAGTCATAAACCTCCGAGGCTGTAGGGGACTCCACTTTCACCGTACAGGGTTCCTGTATCAACTGTGGGCTCCAGATGAGTAGCAGCAGGTGGCCACGATAGCTATTGTTCAACGTATTCGGCCCATTGATCAGGGCCTTCTTTATTAACTCAAACAGTTTTCGAGCACTGTCTGGGCCTCTTCCATTTCCTTGCCCGTGTCCACCAAACTTGACGGTAGGCTCGTACGCTCAATTTCACTTGACGTCGGATAATTCGTCGGGTCTAATTATGTTGGGGACCGGCTGAGACATTTCTCTGAGATTTAAGTAGTGCCATTGTTTGGTCTGATATCTAGTGCTTGAATGGGTCTGGTAATGACGTGTCAGGGGCAAAACTCCTAGCACTATGCATAGAGGTGGCGATGTCGTCTCAGTATGAATTCACATCTGATGGTGGGTGTCATGGATATCCTCTGTGTTAACATTGTCGCTTCGTATTAACCATGTTTTAGAGTTCAGTTTCAGAATACTGTACGTCGGTTCTTAGACAGGTAAAGCGCTATCCATTCTACGCTATTCAGGTTTGTCCTCGCGCTCAAACAGAAGCGGTACTCTACCTGCAACAATTTACTTGTCTAATAATACAATGGAACGGGTGCTGTGACCCACACAGACCCGAATTCTTCCGACGCCACAATGCGTTGAAATAATTCATTCTGAACTTTGCAAACGTTTCTGGACACTGCCGAATCGGTTAAGCTAAAGAAGCTCTGATTCATTTTGTCGATGCACCTGCATATGTTTACATAGCTGACTGTCCTGATTACGAATCCGCTATTAGTATACTTGAGAAGTTGTACGTTTGTCCTAAGACTGTAATTTATGCTCATCATCTTCTACAAGCTTGCAAACAGTCAAGATGTTAACCGGTTTGTTCAGAGGCTTAAATCCCTGGTCAAAAGTTGTGATTTCAAGGCGGTTTCCGACATTGACCATCAAAAGTAATGTATACGCGATGCTATGATCAACGGACTTCAGTCTGCTTGCATCAGAGAGACTTCTGGCTCGAAATAAACTCACTTTGAGTGAAGGACATGAATTTGCTGGGTCATTAGAATTGGCCCACAAACAAGCTCAGTTATACTCTCATAACCAACCGATATCATTTTCTGCGGCTGCAGCAGCTTTACAGACATCTACAGTTACCCCTTCACACTCGATTCCCTCTGATTCCACACAATATCTCTTGTCAATCAATTCTTAGATATGTTATTCCTTTCAGTCGTTCCAGGCGTCCACGATCCAAATACCCCGCAAGAGAAGCGGTTTATAAATCATATGGCAAAACAGGCCATTTTCAGCGTATTTTTCGACCCAAGTCTAGCAAAAATCACTCAAACTGCACGACGGATTCTGCCTTATCTTCCTTATTGACTGCTGCAGCCCCGAACTGCTTGTCCCGCACGGTGACCGGCACAAAGGTAAATGGAATATCGCTTCAGATTTTCATAGACACAGGAAGTCCGGGCAGTTATATACCTCCTTTGGTAGTTCTTATGCATGTATGGAAGATGTACGCTAACGAGTCTGCGATTATCATGGCACCTACCTCTGTGATGTGCTCAACTAGCGGCTACTGCTACGCATCCGTCGATTACAGGGGTACTACCTTAAAAAAAATCTAGCTATTGGTGTTACCCAATCTATGTGCTGACGTAGTGATAGGCCACGGCTTCCTTGGTCTACACAACAAAGCTGAAATCATCTTCGGTGGTCCATTCACCTTCTGCGGTCTTACTGGTGCTATCTCTTACTTGTGTTAACCTATCACCTGATCGCAAGCCTATTGCCGCAAAATCACATCATAACCCGAGTTAGCCAACTACTGGGTGAAGGTATAATTGGACCTTCGAAGTCTCCCTGGAGGGCGCAATAACTGATCGCCAAAAATCCAAACCACAAGGGACTCATGGTAGTGGACCACAGTCAAACGGGGCGAGTTGGTCCAAGTGATTAGAGCGCGAATTTACTAACCAGAAGGTCCGTGGTTCGAGCCCCACCTCTGCCTCTCGACTTTCCCTGTCTAGGCTTGGGCAACCTGGCAGTATCCAAGCCCTCGTGCTTCCTTCGGATGGCATGGCGGCTAGGCACCGAAAGGGTGCTACAGCTGAACGGTCTCACAGTCAAACCATAAATCGGCTCGCATACCTAGACGCTTATCCGTTACCGCGATTGGACAAAATGATTGGAGAAATATCCCGCCATACTGTGTTTAGCACCTTAGATCCTCGAGTACCAATCAGTGCGAAAGACAAACTGTATACGACTTTTGAAACATGCGGACTGTTTCAGTCCCGTCGTATTCTTTTCGGTGTAACCTACGACGTGTCATGCTTTCAACGTACTATTGACTGTATAATCAAGTCTGAGAACTTAAGTGGCACCTACGCTTACATCGACAACGTCACTATTTGTGGGACTATCTAAAGCGAGCATGACCGGAACCTGGGATCTCTCTAAGTAATAAAAAGTATGGAAATAACCTTAACTGCAAGAGAAGCATCATAGCAGCGAAATAAATACACCTTCTCGGCTATGAAGTCCCTGAAGGAACTATCAAGCTAGATCCTGGACGAATGTGCCCTATTCGTCAACTCTTTCGTCCAAATGACGCTAGATCCCAACAACGAATTGTTGGTATGTTTGCTTATTATTCGCAATGGACACCATGCTTCTCTGAGAAATAAGACTCTCAGACTTCTCAGAAGACTTCTCACAAATAAGACTTTCTACCGGAGCATGTGCAACAGTCCTTCGAAAATTTAAAGAGGGAGTTAGAGAACGCTATGGTTGTGACAGTCGAGCATAACGCACCATTAGTTGCCGAGACGGACGCCTCATACATAGTCATTGCTGCATCACTGACTCAGAACGGCCGACCGGTGGCCTTCTTTTCTAGAACACTGACACCGAGCAAAAAGAATCACTTCACCATTGAGAAGGAGGCATACGCCATCGTCGAATCCATCCGTAAATGGAAGCATTATTTCTTCGGGAAGCACT